CCACAGTCGGATTCCTAGTTGCAAAGGCGCTAACGACATCGGCAAACCCTTTCTACCAGGGAGTCTCTCCTGGTTACAGCCCTGTTCTCGCCCTTGACATCTTCTTGGTCCAGGTACTTACCCCAGCCATCTCAACTCTTCGGGCTCGACACATACACTGTCTTTGGAATACATGAGTCCAAAAAATTCACCTGTTGTGATGGATTCGATTTGTGCAGGCATCGGCAAACACCATACTTTCTCATTTCCTTGGCCTCGTCTGCTCGCTGGAGCTATTGCGCTCGGTAACACTGTCCTCTTCGGAACCTGTATTTGTTACCTAGATTGCTTAAAGTTTTGTCCCTCCTTTGTTGTCTGCTCGGAGGAGTGCTAGGGATGTTTCTTACTTCCCGGCGCAGCCAGTTGTGGATTGATCTTGTTTGTGTTGTGAACTTTGTCCGAGAATTAATCATGAAAAGGTTGAGAATTTGGATTCTAAAGAAATCTCTTTACCATACGCTGGAACAAACACAAAAACTCAAATCATATAAAGTTCCCTGAAGCTACTGTAGTCATTGGTGACGACAATGCCTTAGAGATGGATTTCCATGCCGGTTTACGATCAAATGCATGGTTCATTCACAGATAATGGAGCTTTCTGAGGCATCAGATACTCTGCTACTTTTCTGTATCACTTTTCCTACTGTTGCCCTGCTCAGCTCAGTCTCGATTCTGTCACAGTACAGACTAGCAAAATGTGAGAAACTATGTATTTGTGGATGAAGTGATGAACCGATGCTGAACTAGGGTAAGATTTGGATGAACAAAGCGCTAAAGAATGTTGCGAAAAAAATGGAAGGTATGCAGAGATTGTACATTCCAGGACACAAACACAACTCGGTCGTAGTAGTTCCGTGTACTTGTTATCAGACAGTGTACTTGTTATTAGACAGATGGAACCTAAATATCAAAGAAGGCATAACAACGAGCATGTTTGATATGCCACAAGTCTGCACTATAGACTCCTAATCCTTTGTAAAAAATAAAACCACCTTTGTCCAGCCACTTATTATAGCAATGCAAATGTCACTTACAAGGCACATCGCTAAAAAACGGGAGAAAAGGGATCGAAATTTACTTGCCTACCACATCTTCTTCTCCTTAGTCATTGGCCTTGCAATCTTCTGTAGTATACTTTCGTCAATCCTTCTACACTGTGTTTGAAGAACACGTTGTGTGACAGACAGCTTATCATCGATGTTGTCCTGGTATTTCTCGTACAATACAGGGATCGACAGACTAAGTATAACACCTGCTAATTGAAAACAAAATGAAAACAAGTAAAGAACTGCAAAAGAGAGACCCATGTTGTTTAGAGAATTTTTTAAGGAATAATGATCAATACTAGGGGCAGCAGCTGGAGAAGTGCTCACCCAGATAGAGTAGCGTGAGGAAGTTGAAGAAATTGCCAAGCAAGGACAGTGACCACAAGACAAAGCTGACCTGAAGTAGTACCCCATGTTTCATGACAGCTCCCAGTGAGATAGCTAATCTATTAGCTTTCTTAGAATCAGCTCAAAACCACCATGACAATTTCTAACCTGAAAGAGACGCTTCACATTTCTGCCTACTGCAATATCACGAGCAACTGATAACACACGATTTAGCCAGACCCGTAGAGCATCAGCAACTTTGAGAGCAGATGCCTCAGAGATTTCCAGGTTAGGAAGTGGAGGCATAGGTCTGAATGTAGGTAAAGGAGATAAAAGAATCAGATCACGTAGTAATACTACAAGTACTTTTATTTGCATGGAACGACTGTTGGGTTCATATTTTGCATAATTCGCTCACTATGTCACCAATCTCTACAACAAACTGGAATCAAAACGTGATGTTCTTCACCTCGAAAGAACGGACTTTACATCACTCCTCTACCCTTCTCCTTTATATTAGTTCCTATCCAAACTCATGAATTTACACAAGTACCCCACTATATATAGGCAGATTTTTCAAATGCAGGGATTAACAGATAACGAGAAACATTTGAAGTTATATATCCATGAACAACTGCAAGCGAACAACAGAGTTTACCTATCGAGAAGAGAAGCAGATTTCGCCCAGAGGAAGAGTATTACGACGAAGAGAAGCTGAACATTAGCCACAAAGGACAAGAAACTATATCCTGCTTTCTCGAAGAGGAACCACAACAGCGTCGACGATCCGAGCAGAAGCACAGGTCCGCGTCGTTTCCTCCACAGCAACAAATCCGCAACTGGCGATACTAACAAAACGACAATCAGAATCATTCCGACAAAGTTGACAAGTGATCGGCGCGATTCAAGCAAGGATTTATTCGCTTCTGAAGCCGAGAACATGTGAACCGATTCAAACAAACAATACACCGCAGACGGATGTGTAAACACAAGGACGAGATTCCAAGTAAATGTGCGTGTATACATGTAAGGTGAGGAGAAGGACCTGAGCCACCACCAAGGGATTGATGAACAGAAATGCGAGAAGAAGGATGAGCTTCTGATTCTCCCATGGCGGCAGACGGAGAAGAGCTGCAGCGATCCCTCTCCAATGCCGGAACGTTTTTTTTTTTTAAATCTCTTTTTCAAAAACGATTTAGCCCATCGTATCAGTTTCTTTTCAAAGAAAAAGTTACTTCTTTTATTTCGCTAAAATTAAATAAAGTTGTAATATTGTCAAATAGAAGGTTATTAAAGGTGGGTGTCTTTTTCGCTGCCTATTTTTTGCATTTTCCACTTGTGTAGCATTTTCCACTTGTGTATTAAGAAAAAAAAATAATAATAATAATGACTGTTTTAGCTTACAAGGTATTCCTGCTCGCTTTGAAAATTCTCTCTTTCGAAGCAAAGGTGAAGAGAAAACACCCTAAATGCATACAGGACTTATGCAATGCATAAGGTAAGACCTCTGTGTCAAAATAGAACTCGATCTCGTAACATTTTTAAATTTCATACCATTAATCTCATTTACACCACGACAATTCTTAAAGCAAGACAAAGGTTCAAAGCATTGTTACAGGCTTTGTAAGAAAAGAAAGAAGAAACAATGGCACCTTACTCTAAGGGGCCTCTCTCTCCATTTCCTTCACCAGTTTCCTCCATTGCGAAAACAAACGCATCTCCGATCCCGTGATTGCCAAGTGCATTTAACGAGCTCGGGAAAGGAAGAACTGATATATGAATAAGTTTTTTTTTTTTTGCTCATTCAGCGGTTCCATCCTCGTTTCCTGAGCCTCCTTCGTCATCATCAGAGGAAATATCTTCTTTGTGCTGTTGTTGCTGTTCTCCTCCCTCGCAGTTTGGTTTACTCTTCTTCTTCTCCTTCTTCCTCTGCTTCTTCTTTTGGCGTTTCAACCGCTTCTTCGCTGTCTTTTCCTCTGCAGTTTTCAGTTTCTCTTCCCTTCTCATACTGAATTCTGCAAGTTGTTTTCGCTTCTGGTAGTCAACCTCCATCCTCGCAAGCCGATCTTGTTCTCTTCGTCTCATTTGCCGATACTGCCACAGAAAAGCATTGCTAAATAAGAGATGTTGATATATAGAGCAATACAAGGAGAATCACTATCCTAGTCCAAGCTCTACCAAATATTCACAAATCACAACTCACAAGGCATTACAGCATTGTGTAAGCAGATAACATAAGGAGCCACATATCCACCGACCAAAGAAATCCAGAGGATCAAAGGTTTAGGGTTGTAGTTTAGGTTTGGGCTCCATAAAAACTACACACAAGATAACAAAAGGGTTTTTTTTAATTGATATTGTCATAGCTCGGGAACCACCTTAGTTGCACCATATAATTCCAGAAGAAAAACATAGTTACCAAAATCGTGGTGCAAATTTCAGGACACAGAGAACAAACTACACCTTCTACAGCTATATGATCCTCCCGCTAAACTTGTTGTCCACATCAAATTCAAATCTTTACATGTGTCTTTTGTCTTGTGCGTTTTGTTCCCATCCCAACGAGATGCCACTGAAATTCTGTGCAAATCTAGACTTTGGTGAATAAAAACTCAACATTTCCTCCAAAAACAAAATCAAATCAAATCTTTCTTGCAAATTTCGGTTCCGCAATTCAAAATGAATCCTTTTAAGCACCACTAAAAAAACTATAGAAACTCTAATCAGGCAAAACAGATATTATAAGATAACAAACACAATCATCCGCTCATCACAGTGTTATGGTCAACTACACAAAAACCATAGCGAAACTACAAGCTGAAGAATGGATCAATACGATTCCACGAACTGATTTACCTGGTGGAAATCTCCGGAGCCAGAACCAGCCGAACTACCGGAGGTGTTGCTAACGCGGATAGGAACGTTCTCGAGGATTCGCCGGAGCTTCACCTCCAGATCCTCCTCCTCCTCCTGCAACACCGGCGGAGTATACTCCACGATCGCCGTCGATCCTCCATTGGACACCGCAACCGCCTTTTGCGTCTCCCTCCCAGCCACTACCAATCGGGTTTCGCTTTGCATCGGCTTCCCCATCGACATCGCGATCTGAACCAAAAACCCTAATCGAGTCGCAATTTGGGGATTTCTCTGGCACAACATTAATTTAGAAATTTAAGTTCATATGTTACAAAAGCTTCTCAATGTTTCCTAAATTACAAATATGTCCCCAAATGTTTTTCTTTGCTCAACGTTCCCCAAGTGTTGCAAAAAAAAATTGATATGTGAAAGAGAGATAAGGATAGGGTAAAATTGGTGAAATATATAGTATTGGGGTAGAATGAAAATATTCATAAACATATAGAGGCTTGAAGTTTAGGATTTGTATTTTCAGGAACTGGAGAAAAGGTGGTTTCATCCGACGTCGTTTCGCAGCTACTCTCTTTTCATCGTCTCTCGGGAAAATAACATAGGACTCTTCCTCCCGTAGAAACCACGAGGGAAGAAGACGAACAACAACGACAACAAAGTCAGCGACAGAGAAAAAGAAGAAGAAGAAGAAAGAAGCGATTGGATTGGGAATAAGGGAGGAGAAGATGTTACCGACGACCTCCAGATCTCGCTCTCAATCTTCTTCGTCCCGAGCTAATCCGATGTTCCTTCAGTACTTTCGTCGCATCGTCAAGGTTCTGTTTTTCTCTCTCTCTCTGAAATCATCTAATCTATTTTCATGGATATGATCTAAGATTTTGTTTCCCTCTCTCACGTGTAGCTGTAAATTTCCGGAGTTTATCTACTGTAGTAAAATGTACGGATTCTTCATTTCTTAGAGCGGGTTTTGGAGATGGAGAATCGAAAATCTAGGTTTATCTATAGATTAGATTCCGATTTCGTAGGATTTTCTCGGAAATTTGGGTCAAATGTTGCCGGCTCTAACTAGGCGGGGGAATTATTTTTTTCACTAGGTCTAGAAGTTTCTGATAATAGAAGTTGTGCGACAAGTTGATCACTTGCTGCAAGTGCTTTTGATGCCTGGTGATTCGGAAATTCATTATGGTCATTTTTCTCTTGGAACTGTGGATTACGTAAAATATCGATGAATGCTTGTTTCGAGACAGGAAGTGTCTTTGGTGTATTTTATCTGCAGTTATGTAGTATGGTTCATGAACCTTGCATAATTTTAATGTGTGCTGCTGTAAAGGTTGCATCATTCTCATCTTTATGTCTTTTGGTCATTGCAGTGGCAGCAAATGGATATTGAATATACTTTTTGGCAAATGTTTCACTTATGCACATCACCGAAAGTTGTGTAAGTCTGTTACTGATTTTATTGGCGTCTTTTGTTTTGTTATTTTCATGTTGAAAGTTCCTTTTGCTCAGTTACTTCAGTGGCTGCCTCCTACTATAAGTTGATTTTGATTTAAGGCAGTAAGTCTTCCGTATTAATAATGAAATAATAATACTACTAATATTACAGTCAAAGTGATTGTACAACTGATGCATTTGACGTATGGAGAAAGGGTCTTAATTTGTGAGTAATGCTTTTTTCAAAGACTAAGTGGAAAATAAACTCGACATATCTTTATGGAGGTTGTTACAGAGTGAGTTATTACTGTTGAGTTGTTCAAATATCTCGTTGAATTGGTCTAGAAGACATTCAACATTTGCTCTTACCTTATTTGGTTAAATTATGTCTTTACCCTTGATCCGTATGAAGGTTTCTGTTTTGATCTGTATGAAGGTCACTTCTCTAGTCTCTGATGCTCTGGCTTTTGTGTTTTTGCATGTGGGCACGGCACATCAGCTACCAGCACACTAAATATCATAAACGTAAGCTCATTTTTCATTACCAAGTAGTTCTCCTTTTGCAACCAGCTTCTGTTTTGTTTGTATGTGATTTCCCCTTGTCTGCTGCAACGTGACTATCCCTTCGTGTTGTATTATTCACATGTTATCTGCTCAGGAGTTTATATAGTCATTTCAACTAAGTAGCTTAAGGAGAGAACGGAAACCTCCCCTTTTGCAACCTTTTCTAGTTGATCAGCTCTATTTATGTGGTGCTTCCAGTTCTAGTTTCAATGCTGGTTTATGTTGAGAATAGATGAAATTTCCATGGTGTACTGGTGAGTGAATTATGCTTTGAAATTTATAAGATAAGTGTGTCTTGTTTGAAATTTGCTCTCTTTCTCTGTATCAGAAACTAAGAACCAATGGGCACGTGATGACCCTGCTTTTGTTGTGATCTGTAGCATGCTTCTTGCTGTTGCAACCATAGCCTATTGTGCCGCGTAAGTATTTTTGCAACTTGTCTTGTATATGTACATACTTAAAACGATCTGTGTAATTACTATATATTGCCTTAAAAGACATTTAATTCTGATTTCAGTGCTCTTTCTCTGTTATCTTTGCTCCAGGTATGACCACAGCTTCTCACATGCTCTCTTCGTAGTTTTTTCAGTTTTGCTTTTCCATTTCTTAATCACGGGAGCAATTATAGCTACATGCTGTTGGTAAGAGTCACCCTCCATTAGTGTCTGTATATACACGCTTCATTATATGCAATTTTCTCATATACTCTATACCTGTATAATTTATCCTTGCATCTATATATGTGGACATTGATCGTACTTAGCTATCTACTGATGATGGTGGTTCGTCTGATCTTGTTCACTGTACACGACCTACACTCATGCTTTATTAGTGAATGTCCTTTCTACGCATTGCCATCCTTACAGGGAACACTTTTGCATGAATTAAAGCTCATTTCTATTTTTTGAAATTTTTTCTACTGAACTTCAAATATCCTCCAAGGGGTTCTCATAGCAAAATTTCAATTTCCTTTCTGAATAGAGGCATTATGTATGATCCAGGTTTCTCACAAACTCTTACCTTCGGGAGGAGGCTCCGAACAGTCATGTGGTGGAACAACGTGTTGAATGGCAAGTATATAGGATGAATTCTATCTTTTTCTCTTCAATTTTGATCGACTTTTCTGCATTTAAAAAAGTTAGATGATGCGGAAGTTTGAAACAAAAAAGAAAGCTACACATGAAAAATTGTCAAAAATGTAGTTTTGCCATCTACACTCTTT